AAACTAGTTTAATACCAGATCTACCTTAACTAGTTTAATACCAGATCTGGAAGAAGTCGCTTCTGGAAGACGAGGTAGTGACTATGAACGCCTCTTGGAGTAACTGGAATTCGTCGGTGGAACTCGTAGTGGTGGCCATGGACATCTTCAGGAGTGACTGGAATTCGACGGTAGAAGTCGTGGGGCGGCAGTACAGTGGACGTCCCTTGGTCTCAAGTGACTCCAAATCGCAAGTGGCAACGGAGGCTCGGGACGTCGTGTATCGCCTCAGATTCGCCGCGAGGTTTGTAGCTTCTCAATTTGCTTGCTGCACAAAGGAAAGAGATGTTTATATGTCGTTATAAACAATACAGTTTGTAAGTTCTAACCGACTGAACCTGGAACAGAACTTTCATTAATTATAAAAATTACCCCCGTTTTCTGATTCACATCGGTTAAATATTTAACCGAATTCAAAAGAATTTGAAGGTTTACACAAAGTACCCCGAAATATTATATGACATCGGTCATCTTTATAACCAATTTGGAAAATGTTTCATAAATTATAAAAAACACCCCGCACCGCTTTTTTACATAGGATTCGAAGTAACCCATGTAGAATGTATGATGTAAAAAGCCTTTTTTGTACTAGTGCATGTGCTTTGTTCGTTTTTTGATGTGTTATATATACTAATACTTTGACGGTAATATTGTATAATTTTAAATTGTACTAGTAGATTTTCATAGCAAAAGAACAGTATAAACATTCACGCGCTATCCTTGAGGCCCAGCCTATTTGTATTGTCCCGGGCCCATAAAATGTCAGGATCGGGCCTGGTTTAATGTTAGCATATGTGCCTTTTTTATTTGTTTGTAAACAAAATTTTTAACTTTTTTAGATTAAAAGTGAAGCACCAGTTAAACTCTCAACCTTTGGGTGTTTGGTACACTGTTTCCTTAAGATGATATTTTTATCAGGAAAACGATCTTTTTGCTGGCAAATCAGTTTCAACATCTAGTGAGTCAGCTTGATTAATTAGGCATGTTCACAGCTGGAGATTGGAGGAAAGGTATCCGTTGCAAATCCGAACGTTACGGGACCGACCGTTAACTCATGACTCAATAAATAAATCAGATCCCAAGCTTCGATCTCGCCAAACCCTAAATAGTCTCTCAATTTTCCCTCGCTTAATCTGCTTAGTACTACTCCCCGCAAAAATCAGTTCTAGCTCCCACAGATTCCGGGCCGGGAAATCGAAGAAGTCAGCCGGCGGCGGCGATGGGGATGGTGGTGGTGATATCTCTGCCGTTCATCCTCTTCTCGATTCTGCTAGGGTTCGGGTGTTACTTTCTGGGAAGAACCAGAGGCCGCCAAGATCTCCGAACCAGCGCGCAAGTCTTCGGCGTGCCGGCCCCACCTCCGGGCTCTGCTCCGATGGCTACCGCCCACGCTAAGCCTGATGATCCTGCCCGCTTTGTTTGATTCCTTGTCTGCTCTATAAATGTTCAGCCTCGTCTTCTTCTTTCTTCTTCTACATATTTGTAATATATGCTAATTAATATGCCGATTGTACTTCGAGTCCTTTGTATTGAATGTGAATAAAGAACATGATTTTGCTGTAATTTGTGGTTCGGAATAAAATAATCTGAAGCTTTTTTTGCTGAAACAAACGATGACTCCAATTAGAGCAGTTTGATAGAGCTAAGATACCAAGATCTACAAGAAAGCCTGGCATAAAAAAATGTTAAAGGTGAGAAATACTTCTTTTGTCCCATATTTACATCTTTTTGCTTCGGTCCGTTTGAATTCGTTCTAGCACGATTGTTTCATACTAAATTTGATAAATTTTGTTTGATTCCAATTCATTTTAATTTATTTAATTACTTTTATTTTGTCAATCCAATATCAATCATATAAACACATTTGTTAGGTTATTACCTTATTAGTTAATTCTTCCATCCCAAATTTTTCTAATTTTTAATTGGCAGCTCAATAAAGTGAAAATCGTGGTTGTATTTGATCTAGAAATAGGAGAAATATTAAAGAAGGGTTAATAACATGAGAAAAACATACTACTACTACCTCCGTCCCAATTTAGTTAGACAATTTTGACTTTTGCGGTCAAAGGTGGTAAACTTTTACCAATTATTTTAACTAATATATTTATGAAAAAATTAATAATTTTATACTTTTATAATAGTATTTTCAACAAAGAACATTTTCATATAATTTCTATATTATTAATATTTTCTCTATATAGATATATAATCAGTCAAAGTTAGATACCATTGACTTGAAAAATCAAGTTTGTCTAAGTAAATTGAGATGGAGGGAGTAATAGAGTTGATTTATTATTTATTATTGTGGGACTTATAAATATATATGTCATGGTTATATTATTTCTCACAAAACAATATGAGGAAAACTATGAGACTCGGAGAGTAGTTTTATTGTGTTTAAATACTACCTATAATGGAGAAAACTTAACAGAAACATAGGAGTCTCTAAAGTAAGGAGAAAGTATTCCGTGAAAAACACATAATTTTGTCTCTATATAATGGACAAAATTTTGTGAAAAACACATAACTCTGAAGTCTGAACTTGGAGAAAGTATTTTGTGGGCCTATTTCTCTATATTGGAACCGTTTTTTTAGGACTACAAGCTACATAGTTCAACTCTCCACTTGTTTAAAGTTTAAACTTGAGTTCAATGAGAATCATATTAAAATATTGAGAAAATTATCTTTGATTATTTTCAGTAAAACATAAAATGTTAAAGCAATATAGAAAGTTGAACTAGGAAAACCTTACGGTACCAAAAGTTTGAGCATCACAAATTCCTCATGCCACCGCGGAGTCCTTTATTGTTTGGAGCATTTTTTTAATTTTTGACAAAGAATTTGGGATTTGGGATTCACATATTTCTATCTCCTCATAATTCTCCATCACATAATTCTCAGTTTCTTATTTGTCGTGCAAAACTTCAATATTGAACTAGGAAAACCCTACGGCACCAAAAGTTGAGCATCACAAATTCCTCATGCCAATTTGGGAGAGTTCTTTATTGTTTCATCCCAACATATATTATATTTCTCTTTTTGATCAAGAATATGTGATTCATGGCATTTCTTGATTTTTGACAAAGAATTTGTAGTTCAGATCATTTCTTACACATTTTGACATATTCCTCTCTCCTCCGCACAATTCCATCATATCACACAATTCTCAGTTTATTAATTGCCGTGCAAAACTTTCTTAATAAGAGAGTTTGGAGTCATAAAAACATTATTGTCATTAAATTGTCTATTTAATGCAAAAATATGCACAATACATATGTGACATGATACAGATAAATACGTAAAAATAAATTAATGAAATTTCATCCCCTTTGTTTTCATGTTGCATGGTTTGGCGATTTCTTATCAACAATGTCAACCATAATTCATGATCTCTACAATAGAGATTATACTTGACATTCTACACATAAATATACCAAAGTCATATAAAACCATTAAAATAAGGAAATAGATATTTTACATATTAGTTTTAATATGTCAACCATGTCTCATCTCATGATATGTATGCATTATTCACATTTTTTGCATTAGAGATGTACTTAGTACTTAGTGCTGGACTCGGGCCGGGCGGCCCGGCCCGGAACCGGCCCGGGGCCCGGTGGGTCCCTCGGTTCGGTTCGGCCCGGCCCGGCTGCTGGGCGGTTCGGGCCCGGGCCCAGGTTTTGGTGAACCGGCCCGGCCGGTTCGGGCCTGGTCCGGGCCGGATTTTATTTTTTATTTTTTATTTTTTTTGAAATTTTTTTAAGTTTTAGGTTGGATTAGGTATTTTGGGTCATTTGAGGTGGTTTGGGATGGTTTGGGGTTGAGGGGGAGGGGTAGGGGATTAAATAGAAGAACAAAAAAAAAAATATTGGGCCGATTCGGCCCGGCCCGGCCCGGCCCGGTTTGGCCCGGAACCGGGACCGGAACCGGCCACCGGCGGTTCGGGCTCGGGCCTCCCTTTCCTGGCCCGAGGCCCGGCCGGGCCCGGGCCTGAACCGGCCCGAGTCCAGGCATATTAGTACTTGCGGTTTTACTTCACTTAGGTTGTGTATTCCTTAACATTTTTTGCATTAGAGATGTACTTAGTACTTGTGATTTTACTTAGGTTGTGTATTCCTTCAATTAAATTTTGAAAGAATGACTAAAAGGTGACCGTAGAGTCATTCATTTTGGACAATAACTGATTAAAAGAGGAGTAAAACGTCTCAGATGTCCCTACTCATGAGCTTAGGCGACCTCCATGCAACTCTCGCTCTTCATGGTGGCAATCTCGTCTGATGAATATGGTGACCAGGCTTTGTGACGAAGATGGCAACCAAACCCTGTTCCATCCAAACCTAGGCATGGACCGGTCCCGGGCCCGGAACCGGCCCGGGATTCCACCGGGTCCGGGTCTGTTCATTTTTTTCTAATTAACCCCCTCACCCCTCCCCCCCCCCCCCCCCCTCACCCCACAAACCTCCTCCAAAACACCCAGGCACCCAACCCAACCTGGGAAAAACAAAAAATTGAAAAAAAGGCCTAAATCGGGCTCGGGCCGGTACCAAAGGATAGGGTAGTCTGGAACCGCCCCGCTACATAGTAAAATGGACCAATAATTCAAACATGAAATAATGACATTCACCAATCATATGCCTTTAGATAATGAGAGGAGATTAAGTATTAATTCAACCTTTATTTCTCATGACAAGTAAACTGTTAGATGAGTCATGGAAAAGAGTGAATGGGTTCACATTAACTGATGAGTTTGTTACATTTTTTGGGCACATTCCTGCATGGCATATATTCATTGGATAATGAAAAACTACATAACTTTTCATGACCTTTTGAATTCATATCATATAGGAATGTACCCAAAATGTACCTAACAGTAGAGCTGATCTAGTGACCAATCAATATTGATGTCGAGATGGTCAGTCAGGAATGACTCACAATGAGCGAAATTAATAAAACTGAGTCCAGGACAAGATAAATTCAAAAAATACTGCAAAAAAACTGCACTAATAGTGCAGTTCTCAACTCTGCTGCTCAAGCTTTCATTTACACAAAATAAGTGCACCTAGAAAGAGGAGCCATTTACCATTTCTATTGATCCCCTGTAGTTACAGACAACAGCATGTGTCTTGCATATACTTCCAGTCTATTTATCTAGAATCCCACCTACTCTCATAATTTGCCAACTACTTTGTATTTTGTACACTATATAAAAGCGTGCTAGGGAAGTGTGTATAAACACAAGAACGAGACGAGAAATGAAAGAAATCATACGTCCAAGCAGTTCATTTAACGTGTCTTTAACAGGGTCTTCATCAACCCCTTAACAATTTTCCCGAACCACATCAAGTTCATTAAGCCTAGGATTGCTGGCACTACAAATACCAGAAGATATCCAAAGGGATGCATCTGGATGACCTGCATGTAATTTATTGTAAAAGGCAACATCCTCTAGTACTTCTTCATTTGTTACAGAAAAAAGAAGTGTATACCATCAAAGTATTTTTTAAATGGTGTTGGGATTAATTAATAAATAGAGAGAGAGAGAGAGATGTGCATCTATCCAGCATGTATAATGCATTTGTTTACTTTGTTTACCATTTTTACACCAAAATGGAAGACACAAAATCAAACTCAGAATTTCCACTACAATCCTATCATCTTATGTACCATTTTAATCACCGAAAAGGAGTATTCTCAGTATTCCACACTTCACCCACTCCTTATATTACCAAGAATTGCATCAACTGTGTGAAAATGTCTACACTATATGGTCTACAGACAATACTTTCTTTTCTCATGCTTGTATTTAATTTGATGTGAGGTAGGTAATCACATTTCACTTTCACAAACTAAAGAGTTTTTTGTGTCTGTTTCTTTTCAACGACTCAATATTTTGGTACAGAAATAGTGTGAGAAAGAATCAAACGTCCTGAAAAAGTACCTGATCATAGTGGTTGTAAACATGATAAAACATGTAAACGAACAACAAAATCCTGGCGACCTGCGTTAAGTGATATATCATAGTTACATGATGTTCTGAATCTTTTGGGAAATAATAAATGTAATGAAGATATCTCTTGATATATCTCGTGTCAATAACTCTTTAATCACAACATTAAGGACTAGATGACTCACCAACCAGACAACAAATATCACAACACCATTAATCAAATACGCGCTTGATCTCTTTAATCCAGCTGTGTCAAGATACCTCCAATGAAAAGAGAGAATTTAGGAACGAGCTTCTAGACCAGTCAGATTACTGTTTTAAACACTTACCATCGTAAGTTGATCTCTGGAGTTGTTATCTCAGATATGAGCACCATGAAAGTATATAGTTGCCCTTCTCCAGTAATCATGGAATACGCAACAGCGATTCCTGAAAGAGCGTGATGAACAACCTGAAAACCAAAAGCTGCACATATGACATGCAAAACATATTCAACAATACTTGCTTCAGAGCACACATCCACTAGCCAATTTTTAAGGGATTCACATAAAAATGTAAACAATGTCAGGACAAGTGGAGAACAACTAAAAGATGTAGAGCTACAGAATCAACCAAATCAATTTAAAACTATTTGTTTTATCATCTGGTGATTTTGTCAGCATAGAACTCGTCCACATAGCAGTGATAGCAGTGCAAGCGTTGATCAAGTCCTAAATGTTCTTGTGTCAGGTTGACCAGGCCCAATTGATGTATATTTTATATATGTATGATTTGCCAGCTGTGGACTTAACCTACATCTTTTGTGCAAAGCAGATTTTATTCACAGCCACATTTATGTTTCAGAACAAGTTATGAAGTTCCAAATTAACACAAATCATTACCTCATTATTGTGGAATGCTTTAAAGGTCTTATAACTGAGAATGCACCAAAAATTAATCAAGTGTATACCGTTTATCCTCAAGTGAGTTAGTCAACCAAATTCGTGTAGTAGAACAAACTAGATTAAGATTATTTTTTTAAGGTCATAGGTCACATGAAACACATCTGGATGCGCTTTTGTCAAATGCAGTTTAAGAAGTGCTTTAGACAAAATCAGTTCTAGTACTAGCAGTTCCACTAAAGAGCAGAACAGTGTTTAGAAATACTTATCTAGAAAAGCACTTTTAGAAGAACCACCTATCATGAGCTGCTAATGGTAAGCATTACTGAAGTATTGATTTTTTTTTTTTACTTTTTAAAAGTGCTTCTAAAATTTTAACCAAGCATCATTCTAACATGTAAATGCACTTTTGAGAGCAGAAGCAAATTCAACAGGTTCCATTAAGTCAAGGCTATTGACTTTTGCAAGTTTTTGTCAGATTGACATGTTCAACTGATTTATATGTGTGATTCAACAGTGAGAAACATACATAGAATCCACACACAAAATCGTTTAAGCTTTATGCCCAAAAGATTTTGGGGTCGGATAACATCACATCCACACAGTCACTAACGATGCAGATTGTATTATTAAGATACTATCACAAACATTTTAGTGTGCGTTTTGAAGTTCCTTAAGAGGTACTTCTGTTGGTTCACTGTAAGTACCATTTGAGGATAAAACACACAGGATCTTGCAAATGTGGAAAATTAGAATCAAATGTTCTCTTGATTTTATAGTGACTGATATTATATACAGCCATTTTCAACCAAAACACGCTTAGTGTGCGACGGAGGAAGCCAGTACTTCGGAAGTTTTTAAGGTGTTATGACTAAGTAAGGCTAACACTTAATCATGTGTAGATAGGAAAGCAATACTATTTGAATAAAAAATAAGGAGTATATTTATGCAAAAGAATACTCAAGGTGCCACTGTACTATGGATAATGATTTATGAGACTTTATAAGAACAGATGCTCTATTGATTAATGATTGATGATGAAAAAATCTTAAAAAACCACTTGCCAAAGAATCTATTAATAAAAAACCAAACCAGATGGTGGAAGGAAATCAGAAGAAGTGGTTTTATTTACAATGTTGTCACTCAAAAACATCATTTGAAATTAATTTATATGGATATTATAATGTAGATCAAACAACAATTATCTGCACAGCTCATTCTTTAACTCAAAAGAATAAGACAGTATTAATACATAGCCACTACTGCATATCTACATTACTTTAAATAACGATGAGCATCACTGTGATCACAATTTTCAAAATATACTTACATACTCTACTCCACCTAAAGCAGGATAAAGCCAGCAAATCATTCCAAGATCTGAAATAAAGTACCCAACAGAGACCTGATGAAAAGAGTGTAGCAAATCAAACAAAAGGTAAAAGTGCATCAGTAAAACATGAATACCATTGAGAAAATCAGAAAGCAAACAGATCATATAGAAACCTTTTAGGCATATGCTACGAGCATGTAAATTTCAGAGTTCACTTAAAGTACTTATGTCTGTTGAATTTGCCGAGAAAACATGTGAAAACTAGTTTCAGATCAAACACAAACTCTTATTTTGTATCATAAATAAATGCCATTCTTACTGTGCAAGGCTCCAAAATCTTAAATGTTCTATGCCTCAATAATAGCTGCACATCTATCTTTTGAGCTAATGGCTGTTCAAGATGAAGATTTGAGTTAAAGGCCTGAAGAAGAAAAGGCAAACATCCTTGGCTTGGGTGTAGAAATCCAAGTAGCTAGTATATTTTTGGGTATCTTCTTTCTACGAGAACTTGACTTTTGTTTCGTAAAGTGAAAAAACCTAATGAAGACATATCAATATGATTGTGTAATTTGTCAACACAAATCCTTGGTTGGGAAGGAAATGCAGCGGTGGAGGAATCCCCAAAGTAGAATTGTACTCATAGCATCATGTTTCCCTAAGGAGGACAAACTGGAGATGCAAGAGAGCTTGGAAGTTAATTGAGTATATCCTTTTTCGCATTCGTTTATTGGATATAGATGCACTAGAGGAAGAAGCATATGGTTAAAAGGAGACACGTGCACTTCTCCTGTTGTTAAAGGCTTGAAGTGTACCAACAAAAAGTTCAGGAAACCTTTTTATCATCTACTAATCTATGCACAAAGCTGAACCTTTAATGAAACACACCCAAAAGAATATAGCTCAAAGAACTATTTGCATTTAAATTCAATGAAACAAAAAGATCGGATTTTTTCAAGCATGAAAGAGAAGTATCTTCACTGTTCTTATGACTGCATCATATTATTCATATGGTTGTACTCCTCCTAACACTACCACTGCTTCCAACATAATTAAACTAACAGCCACATTGTCAGTTTATCTTCATTGGGCTCTTTCGTGTTTGTGGAATTTAAGTAGCAAGTACATCCCACTATCCCATAATTTTTATTTTTTTCCATCATCATTCATAAAAGGAGTAAAAGGACACAAACAAACCTCTCTCTCTATATATATAGGTATGTATGTATGTATGTATGTATGTATGTATGTATGTATGTATGTATGTATGTATGTATGTATGTATGTATGTATGTATATATGTATGTATGTATGTCTTATGTAATCAAATTCACTGAAAATAAAATCAGTTCACCCAATGGAAAATCAAATAAGAACTGAGAGGATTTCAGCATTGTTAACCAACAGTTACCCCTAGTGTAAAAGTTGACATTGATGAACTTTGGAATGTCAAAAGACCATCTGGATGGTGCTCTGAGAAAAGATCGGACAAGAAGACATAGTACAAAGACATAACAGAAATGAAGATGGCATGGATGGTTGACATAGCACTGCAGAAAACAATAACCACCAGGAAATTGTTAAAAAACAAAAAAGCAAAAAAAAAAACATGTGGGATAACAAATTGAATCAGAAATTTACCGGTTGTTCCATTCAGTCCGTTGAATCTTTGTAAGGCTACTATAACTCCTGAAGTAAAATGCACTGATCAACTGAGATAGATCATAGACCTGTGAGAAGCCAGGAGGGGGGTAGTAGTCCTCAGGCCCTTTTTAAAATGCATTCTAAAAGTTTCACGCAATAAAAAATTTAACATGGATTGCATATGTACCATTTTGCCTGCAAATATGCCACTAAAGATTGAAGTGTATGGTATAAAAGGGTCAGATAGCACATAGTTCTTAACCAATGTCTCTGCATGATTTTGGTAAGTTTTAAATGCCATGGCGGTTCTTCTAGCAACTGCCATTATGAACAGAAAGGGACTGAGAAATTGAATCTCAGCTAAAATATGATATCCATCCGCACAGCTTGTGCACAACTATAAGTTAAGTCCCTGAAAGGTCGAAATAAAACTAGAATGAGCATGCATAACTCAAAGCTGCATCATAGCATTCATCAAACTAATAAAAGACAACCCATTGAATGAAGATCACTTGACTACAACCCAACTAGAATTGCAGGAAAATTAATAAGAAAAGCAGACATTGCATTTGTTATCTCCGTCCACTGGTTATAAGAACAGATGAGAAATCCCCAAGCAAAAACTAAAATGGAAGGTGCGCAAATGCTGATGCTATTCGAATTTGTTGGTGGAAACATGACAATGATGAAATATCCAAGATATCAAATTCCCAAACCCCGAGATCCATTATTAATGCCAAAAATCATAAAAGACTTCATATTTATCTGAACCGGGACAAAAGGTGAAAGAAAAGGAAACGAACCCAGGGTTTTCGTTCTGAGCAGGATGCGGGAATGAGGTATTTGAGAAGAAATGCCAAAAGACTGAAGCCAGCCGCAAAGAAACGTGAATATCAACCCACCAGAAAAGGTTGAGATGCAAAATTTTGGTGGGAGGGGAACGAAATCTGCGAGCGAAGCAACGAGAGGAATGATTAGCAGTCCTTCGGTAGGTGGCAGTGGAGGTAAGATGATGCGGTGATCAGGTGAGAGTTGCGTTTGGTTGCGCTGCTGGTTGCCTACACGGCATCTGTATTACCAGAACTCGAGGATAGGAGGGGGTGATGGGTTTGTTTCATGCTTCCTATGGCTGGCGCTGTCGTCCTTTCCAATAGGTACCCAAACCGTTTGATCAGACTCTAGCCTGCTTGTATGTTTTTTTTGGGTATACGGAGTATATGATTAAGCACAAAGAGTCGCACTAAAGTTTATAAAAACTTTAATCTGTCCCGGTGGCTCAATTGAGTGAGCCGTAGTAGAATTGAAACACTGACCAAGTGACCATAGATTGAAACTGGTAACAACCAGACTTTAATAAATAAGAATCACTACATAGAAAATATGACAATTATAATAGTTAATCTTCTCTATTCCGAATGAGGTCAAACATAAGCATTAAAAAATATAAGGAAAAAATAATGTCATCAATGCACAAATTGGGAACAAACACCTTGTACTACTTAACTATGGATCAAAATTATTCATTTTATGCAGCCCACATTTGAGTAGCAAGATTCATCCTCCATTCATTGAATTTTTCGATCTGTTGATCTTGTATCTAAAAATTATCCCATTCAAGATTGCACTCATCATCGCTAGGTAGGTCTTCTTCTAGGTCCGGAGGAAATTCGTCAGATCGACATTCACGTCGAAGAAAATTATGTACTCCTGCACATGTCAAAATTAATTCTGCTTGTGTTTTATAAGAGAAAGGAGGTGCCGTTTTGAAGACTATGAAGTGTGACTTGAATATTCCAAATATTCAATCAATCACATTCCTTAAATAAGCATGAGGAAGATTGAATAGTTCAACCGCATTAACAGGGTGATTTCCTTCACCACCAAAATCCTTTAGATGATATCGAGTACCTCGAAATGGAGCTAAAAATTGACACCAATTTGCAAATTCACAATCCCCAAATAATATTTTCCTAGGCATTGAATCATTACACAATTAGTCTATTATACAATGCAATAAGTAATTGGTAACAGAGATTTGGATAAACATGTTAAAGTGTACTCGGTGGCACTTTGAGACCATTTTGGTCTTGAAATTGCATCATTTAACACTTTTGAATCATGGGCAGAACCTTCCCAACCGTTAAGCACATATATGAATTGCAAATCAAAGTTGCAAGCAACTAGTACATTTTGAGATATAGTCCCATGACGATTTCGATACTTGTTCACTTTTCGTTCAGCTACGATTGCTGGAATATGAGTGACATCTATTGATCCAATGCAATTCTAGCATTAAGAAAAGAAGAAATATCAAAAAAATAATTAATCGATCATCATTAATCATGTAAAATTGGTGAAGTGCATTAGGAAAAGAAAAAATACCAAAAAAATTAATTAATCATCCTTGATCATCAATAAAGTTTTGCATTACTCACCTTGAAATGAGGATAAAACCTTTTACTTTTTCTGATGACATGTGGTACAGATTCCGGTTTGGCCACAAACTCAAGAGCTATTGTATTCAACTCTTTAAATACTTTGTGGAAGCTTCTGCTAATGGTGAAGTGTGACCGCTTAAATATCATTCTTGGTTGACCATAGCGGTTATTTTGGCCGATAATAAGTAAAAATGTTGCCACCATTTCTTCAACACAAATAGATCTTGTATCTCTTAAAGGTGTTTTGTTTCTTAGGATACAACATAATTTTTGAAAAATGTTAGGATACATTCTGTATACATTTCTAAATGTTTTAGGATACAACATAATTTCTGAAAAATGTTAGGATATATACATTAGCATTGTTCGGGAGTCATCCTTAAAAAAGAAATCTTTCTTTGCTTTTGTATTAAGCAAATCAAGAGTTTTAAAGCAATCATCGTCTGTTAATTCAGGGGTCTCTTTCATAGCATCCAAAAGATCATTGTCCCTTGCTTTTCCCTTCTCCATTAAATAACAAATTTTATCAAAACTCTTAGTAATTTTATTAAACCCCATTGACAAGCTCTCAATAACCTCTCTGTGACTATTATGTTCTTTTGTTCTTCCATTGTTCTCAAAATCATTTCTATCACTTTTTCTTTTAGCCTATTGCTTGATTAAGGTGGATCCTCTATATTTCTATCACCATCATGTGGAAGATATGATGAGTCCTCCTGGTTGGATGATGCATTTTTACTCGGTGTGAACGTGTTAGTATTTGGTTAAAAATATAATCCATCACTGCCGCCAATTCCACCTGGTTCATCATCTACTCCTAACACTGTAGCATCTGTATTTTCGCCAAGACCAATTGCACCCATTCCAGTTGCAATTCCATTCCCCACTGCGATTCTCAGATCCTCATAGTCTGGATAAGTTTCTGACCGAAGGTGTGCATGTTCTTTATGTGACTGATATATAAAAAAAATCTAAAATTTGTTATTATGATGTTATAAAATAGACACACAAATGAATTAAAAAATGCCCACCTTCAGGTAGTCAGCCCATACTTCTTCGGAAGTGGTGAATTTCTTTGTGGTTGTGATGTGAGTTTTCTCGCACTTAAAAAGATTGTAATATAGTGATGAAAGTACGAGTATCGTCTCCATAAGGAGGGACAAAAGGGAAATAAAAATTAATTAAGTTCAACGATTAAAAAGAAATAAAATAAACGCAATTGTGCGAGATTGGTGGTTTGAAAAACTAAATTGCGATTGAACGAATAAAAAGGTTGGCTTTTCTCTAATTAACGACGAAGGGAACATGGATTGATTCTGGGGTAACCAGATTTCTTGCAGATCAGGCGTAATTACAAGAAATTAATTTAAACGTGCCTAGCTAATCATTACTAAGTTCTTACCGCTCTCGCGGCGTAGAGTACAATAATTTCGGGGGCCAGACTGATCTCTCATGCGACATGATCCTAAATTATTGCCAAGACGAGCGAACTTACGGCCCCTTAATCGCTACTAATCTCTTAGCGAACGATTAAGTGTGTGTGAATGTGTCCTAGAACAAATTAGATCGCTCTTAATTTATTGTACAAGCAATTGTAATTCTAGCTGCAGTCTAGGTTACAAGAGATATCAATTAAATTGTTCAAACACAAATTAAACGGCATTCATGCAATTAATCCATATACAGAATTAAACTGAATTGGGATGAATAGAATTAATTGTCATTAATTAAAAAGATTGAACTTACAAATAATCACAGGGTCTTGAAGAAAACAATGGAAAAACGCAGATAAATTCGTCCCTAGGCCTCTCCATAATGTTCGTAACCCCTAAACAGGAGAATGGAGGCCTTATTTATAGAAAACACATGAGTTTGGGCTGAATTGGGATAAAACGGGGTCAGGCACGACGTGCCCGCGACCGTGCCTGCGTAGCACCAGCGAGATTCGCGTCCAAGGGCACGGTGTGCCTCCCTGCTAGGCACGACCGTGCCTGGCTCTCCCAAGATTCGGAACAAGTTTTTTCTACAGGCACGATTGTGCCTCAGGTCAGGCACGGCGTGCCTATGCATTCCAGCTATCTGGTACCAGTTTATACTGCAGGCACGGCGTGCCTAGGGCCAGGCACGACCGTGCCTGCCCTTTTCTTCACCATTCTTCTTCTTTTCTTGCTCGCTCCAAATGCACCCGGATGCTTCTTTGATCATTCCAAAGGCCTTTTCTTCATCAAATCTTCGTCGTGAACCTCCCGGTGGCCTTCAAAACTCCATTTTTTAAACACATTTCAATTAACTAATATTTAAATTTAACTAATATTATCAAAAATTTAACGAATCTAACTTAATTAGTTAAAACCTACGTTTAAATAATTAATTTTACTTAATGCATCACTACGTTTAAATTAAACCTACGTTTAGCTAACTAATTTAACTTAATTAACACATCACTACGTTTAAACCTACGTTTAGCTAACTAATTTTAATTAAATTATTTTGTAAACCTAAAAATTTAACTAATGTTATGACATCACCAAGTTTCTAGTTAAATATACTGTTAATTAATTAAGGGAAAACTGTCGAATAGGTCCTCGAACTTTCATAAAAAAAGTCAATTAAGTCCTTCTATAGGAGGTTCTGTCCGGCCGTCACGATTTAGGGTAGTTCTCAGTGGAATTTTTTGATGAAATATTTTGAGCATCTTATTCACCAAGTCTAGTTTACCCATATCAAATTTCAACTAAAAATTCAATCGGGAACACATTCAAATTAATTCTTGAAGATAACTGCACATTGTTGCGTTCTCGAATTAATTCGAATGTGATCCCGATTACATTTTTAGCTAAAATTTGGTATGATTAAACTAGACTTGATGAATAAGATGCTCAAAAAATTTCATCAAAAAATTCCACCGGGAACCGTCCCAAATCGCGACGATCGGACAAAATCTCCTATAGAAGGACTTAATTGACTTTTTTATGAAAGTTCGAGGACATATTTGACAGTTTCTCCATTAATTAACAACCTCACTAATTTAATAGTTTTAATAATTTAAATTGAACTAACTAGTTCCAAATAAAAAATAATAATTCAAATAACATACCTTATCTGCATAAACGGGGAAATGACATAAGATAGACTACATGCTTCGACCTTGGATCTTTCAAATAGATACTGTATATACTGGGAATGGATTGATGTAGTTCTGCTGAATGAGCAGGTTATGTATATATAAAAATACTAGTCACGGACTTAGTCACGGACTTAGTCACGGATTTGTCCGTCACTAAGCAAATCCGTGTACATTACGCGTCCAAACCGTGTAAATGACGTGTAATTTACGCGTGGACTAATTTCATTCGTTTTAGTCACGGAATTAGTCACGGGCATGTCCGTGACTAAATTTATCCGTACATAATACCGTTGGAAATTAATTTCTGGACGCTAGGAAATTAATTTTTTTTTAGTAGACACGGATTTGTCCGTGACTAAATCGCCGGAATAAAATAAGGCACGCCGGAAACACAATCGGGTCTATCGGATGATTTTAGTCACGGATCTGACCGTGACTAAAAGTAGTCACGTACGTAGTCACGGTCGTATCCGTGACTATTTTTTTTTTTAAATTCCGTGACTAATCCGTGACTACGACCGTGACAAACTAGTCACAGACCGAATCCGTGACTACGGTCCGTGACTAAACGCGTGTTTTTTTGTAGTGTCTGAATGATGCCAGAGCCTAATAGGCAGGGGCGGAGCCAGGATTCGACCGA